CTTACGTCTGTAAAGCGACTTGGCTCTCAATATCCGGTTTAAATGTCTCTCCGTAATGATGGTTCCTTGCATTGCCAGGCTTTTCAAAATGCATTTGTAGCTCATTCCCAGCCTGAAATAAAACTCAATCAGACTGTCTCTGTCCATGGTGTATTTAGCCTACTCTTATGCTTATGTCTCTACGCAGCTGTCCAGGAATTCTATCAATAAGATGTGCTCACGTTATCTATTTTGTGGCCACAAATGCATAATTCGTTGCCACGTTATACCCAATTCGTGCCCACAAATTAGCATTTCGTGCGCACCTTATACCTATTTCGTGCCCTCGAAATAGTATTTCGTGGCCACAAATAAGTATTTCGTGGGCACGTTATACCTATTTCGTGCCCTCGAAGTAGTATTTTGTGGCCACAATTTATTTATTTTTTGGACTATGTCATCAGAGGGGCTCCGTAGATTCAAGTCTAACCAGAAACTAACCTCTCATGTGGTATCGCTAAAACACTGGAGTGTTGACTTTTCTGTGGGACTCTGTACAATAATAAAACGGTTATCTACAACTTTATTGTACACACATGAATAATACTTTGGGGTTAATGGGGAACAAAATGGGTAGAAAAGGAAGTCATAGTGAGGGCCAGTTTCCACTTTTTATCTCTGAAGTGCTTGTTAATTTATCACAACATCCATCCATCTTCTTCTACTTGTGTAATTCAACAAGGAGAGCTGGACGCCAATCCAAGCTAGTGAGAAGTGAGGTGCACAGGGTGACAGCACATCACAATACACCCGTTTATAAGGGAAACCTAGATAGTACTGGGTTGTTGCTGCACAGCCACGACGTGAATCCTCTGTTCTGCCACATCTCAAAGGTGCTCTGTTTGATTGTGACTGCAGAGGCCGTTTGAGTACAGTGAACTCATTGACAAGCTTCATGATAAGGTCAATGGTCATAGAGGGAAAGAGGAATAGATATGGTCAGCAACATTACTCAGGTAGACTATGCTCAGTTGCTACTAGAAAACATCCCACATACCATTAAATCACTGCCAGCTTGAACTGTTAATTCAAGGCGGGATGGATCCATGCTTTAAACAGCATAAACAGCATGCTGTTTATGCCACCAGAAATCAAAATTTATCAGGGCAGTTAACCTTCTCCTAACCTTCTATTGAGCAGTTTAGCCTCAGTTTCCTGTTGACATTAGCCACACCCGGCGTGGTCTTCTGCTGCTGTAGTCCATCCGCTTCGAGTTCTGAAGTGTTGTACCTTCAGATATGCTCATCTGCATACTTTGGGTTTAACACGCGAATATTTGAATTACTGTTGCCTTCCCAGCTTAAAGCAGTCTGACCATTCCCCTATATCACCAATAAGACATTTTTTCCTCCAGAGAAATTTGAGATATTTTATCTTTTTCTAGGGATGGCCGTGCAGGAAAATCCCAGTAGATCAGCAGTTTCTGAAGTACTCAGACCACATTCGAAGTCACTTAAATCACCTTTTCCCCCCTCTTATCCTGCGTTTACCTTTGGGAGGATCTTTCACAATGACACGACTGTCAGGCTTGTGAGTGTATGGAAATAAAAGTTTAATATACAAGCATTTACCTAAACAAACACATTTCTCTTCTTGAGCAATACAGTTTGGAGAGCATAATGTTTTGTTGTGATCATATAGTCTTTAAAAAGAAGAAAAAACATTTAATGCTCAGACAGGGTCAAATCCCAGCTGTGATCTCTCGCCACGACTTTCTGTCTGTAATGTCATCCAACTTATGGTTTCTTAGGTTTGGCTTTAGGGACCACTTTAATGGTTGTGGATGCTGATTTGGCTCCTTGCATGTTCTGAGCAGTGCAGGTGTACGTTCCTTGGTCCACGTCTCTAACTTCATCCACGAGGAGCACAGACTGAGACTGCTGCTGAGCAGTTCCTCCACTGACCGGAATAACACTCTCCTGTGTGTATGGAGGTCTCCCAATCTGGACCAAGCATAGGAACACACACACACACACACACACACACACACACACACACACACACACACACACACACACACACACACACACACACACACACACACAGCACAGGAGTAAACATTACAATGAGTTATCATGTTGCAGTTTATTTCCTCATGGCTCACCAATAAAGACATATCTATTATATTCCTGTTTAAAGGGGATAAGGTTCAGGCAGTCCATAGGTTGAATACTTTTTGACTAATAATAAACTCGCTAAAAAGGCAACGCAAGCTAAACCGACTGAAGATATTTGCCAACTGCAGGACTTTTTTTGAGTAGTATTTCAGTTCACAACCTAGAATTCATGTTCATACTATTTCAGAAAGAAAGCTTATTAGAATTAATACAAAAGCCATACAGAACTAAGCTAAGTTTGTATTAAAGCATACAAGCCCTGTTTCCACGAGTGTCTGACCTCTTGTCCTGGGTAATCCCAGGTGAACTCTATGGCCACGTCTCGTTCTCCCATCGCAGAGCAGGTGACACGTAGATTCTCCCCCACAGTCACTGTGCTCGGTGACGCTTGGATCACTGGAGCGGGAGGAGCCCTAGGATCTGAGAGCAAATGTGATGTATTAGTAAGTTAAATGTTGTGTCGTCACCAGTAATCCTGTAATTAAGGGTAATTTTCATCCTTAATTTTCAAAAGTTTTCATTGATTTACAATAAAAAAAACCCCATAAATTCTAAAATTCTGAAAAAATTTCTAAAATTTTGAAAACGTGAACTCACAGTTAACATAGATGAGCATGTACTTCATAGAGCTCTGCCGGAGGTTTCCCAGACTGGCAACACAGTACAAAGCTCCGGCATGATATGGCCGAGGTCGATGGATTGTGAAGCCCTTCTTGACATCAAAGGAGATCTCCCTCCTGTCCACGTCCAGCTCCACAGGTGGGTACTCACGGTGCAGAGTTACTTTAGCCTCAGGTGACGTCACCTGGCAGGGTAGGACTGTAGGCCAGTTGCTCCTCAGCTGAATCACCTTGTAATAGTCAGACGATGGAACAAATAGTTCTTGTGGATCTGGTCCGTACAGAGAGGCGATATGGCAGATTTATGATAAGATTATTAGAATGTAAAAAAGATTCCTGTCAAGTCTGCAGTTCAGAGAAATGCAAGCCTAAGCATCAATAAAATGTATTAATCACACCTGGAAAAAAGACGAAGACTTTAACAGCTTTGCTGTATTCCTTCCTGCAGTCAGTGTCTTCACAGTACATTGGGTAGCATGTGTACTCCCCCGTGTCTGCACCAGTGGTGTTGACCAACGTCAGAACCCCATATCGCTCATACTGGACGATTCTGCACAGCCAGAGCAAAAAGGAGCGAAAGAACACATTTACTTCCTTACTTACTCAAGCTTATACTGCACTTTATGAGTAAAGATCTGTAGACATGAAAAGTTACCTGAGCCTCCCATCATTATCCTCCTCCAGGTATGGGGGGACGCTCCACTGCACAGGTTTGCCCCTGCACCTCAGCTCCAGAGTATCTCCTGTTTGCACATTTATGGTCTCACCCACCTTCTTAAACTTCCCTTTGTTTAACACCTTTATTAGTCAGACACAGACATGTACTTTAGTCGTGAACTTTGCAAAATCAAAAAGTTAATTTATAACAAACGTAATACCTGCGTGAGGAGGGTCTGCTCTGCACGTGCAGCTTTGACCTTCGGTTTGACTGTTATCGTTCTGGGCCCTTTGTTTGTTGATTTCTCATGCTTTGGTTTCCTTGGCTTTGGTGTCCTTCCCGGAACAGCCTTCTGCTCTTGGGCATCTTTTTGGCAATATTATACACAGTACGCAGAGCACATGTTTCAGAATATTTTACAAACAAAGACAAGGCTGCTACAAGTGAGAAAAAAAGTATCATTTTTGCTTCTAGAATAAGCCACATTGTGCAAAAGACAGAAAGAAAATTGCCCTCCTCACCAAATCTATGAATATCACGTTCACCGAATTGGATGACAAGGGACTAATGTCACTTACCCAACTCGAAGATTAAGGCACAAGTAAGGAGAGCAATGAGTACCAGCCTCCACTTTGACCCAGACATGTTCGCCAAAGGCATGGCTGATGAGCTGATTGTTAGTTCATGGAGTTCAACCCAGAGAAATATACAACAGAAATGAAAAGGAGAGAAGAAGAAAGAGAAGGAAGGAGGAGGGCAAAGCTTGCAAAGTGAGCAGTCTGCTGTTTATTAGAGTCACGCAAATTCCTTTTCCTCGGAGTGGCATTAGTACCCTAAATTCCATCAGTGTGGCTCAATGGAGGCTTTCAAGCCTGTCCGAACCAATGAGGGTCCAGAGAATGAGGCCCCTCCAATCTGGAATGGCACAGCCTGTTTATTTAGCTGCCGGACTGTAAGTGTACTAGCAGCATGAGTCTGAGCCTCAGAAACACTGCCTGGAAAAGGAGCATTTGGTGTTTAATACACTTTATGTCCTTCATTACTGTTTTTTATGGGTAAATAAAAGTTTTGTCTCAGTTAGCTCTAGAATAATATGTTGTTGTTTTTTAAATATGCCTGAAAGATTTGCACCTAAAATATTCACACATTACTTAAAGTACATTTTTGAGATGTCGGATGCAGTGGAAACAATGTAAACCTTTCCTTGTGAGTGGCCAGCTAAGCTGTGATTTTGAACATGACCGCTATAAGCTTCTTTTCAAAGGTCCTTTTGTTCTCAGTCGACTCTAAATAGTGAGCCATATCTGCTTCTTTGTGCACGTCTACAGTGGGAATGAACTTATAGTAGTCCTTTATTTTTACCTCTTTATCGACACAGACTGCAACAAGGTAACTCCATATTTAAGTGTTTTACAAAAGCGAATCATTTAATTTGTAATTCAAGTGTGCACTGGCAGTCATTTAATTGACAATCACATGCAGTTTCCATATTTACAGATGGAAGATGAAATCCCACAAAAGCTTTTCCATATCAACTCTGTAAAACGTCTTCAGTCAAATTCTGCATATTTAAAAAAAAATATTAAAATAAAATTAAAATAATGCAAAACTGAAATGAAAATAATTTACATTTTGCACTTGAGAAGAAAAGTGTAAACCTGTTATGTCAGAATCATAAAAGCAAATAATCTACAGAATATTTTTTCTTTGGAACAGGCTCACTAATACGACAAGATATACAGATAAATATCCTTAACAACAATGTGAAAATCAGTGATAAGTGAAGATCTTCTCGGTCCAAATATATCTTAGGGAGTGTTTCATTTTGGACCATTTAGATAACAAACAGACTGCGTTAGGATGTAATAAACCATCAAGTTAACAAGTTATCAGGCCATTTGCTTCGGTGCTGTCGTAGATTGAAGACTGCTGAAAGGCAGCAGCACCGGTGCATCTCAAGCAGTGGTTATAAGTTAAAGCAAGTCGCTCACTGTAACATCTCAGTTTATCTGTCTTCACCCCGATTGAGCTCAGAATTTCTCTTCTTTCATACTATCCTTGTCTGTTTTGCCGCTGACTGTTTCGATCTCTGCGTGGTCGGTCATGAGTCGCTTCCTCTGGACGCTGTTACGCATTCCATAGATAAAATAGATAAGTAACCCTGCAGAAGAGAAGAAAAGAGAAGAGTGAGGGTCACCCAGCTAGATAGCATCCCTTTAATCCTCTCAAACAAAAATATACCCATCATACCTATTAGCATCCAGACAGCATATCGGATCCATGTTTGACCGCCTAACTGCACCATCAGGTAGACATTGATTAAAGTACTCAGTAAGGGCAGAAGAGGGATTAAAGGTACCTGAAGAAGGAGAAAATGCAGAGATGTGAGATTCCTAGTTGGTGATTACAAGAAATTACTTGAACCACTTCTTACCATGAACGATGCCTTCGTGGGATTCTCTGGGTGTCTCCAGATGAGGAACAAGTTGACCAGCAGGAGCACTCCAAAGATACAGACAAGCACGATGCTCCATGCTTGAGTGTTGGCAAGAGCTTCCATGCCTTGGCTCAGAGTAATGCACAGTGCAAGAATGCACAGAACTGCAGTGGGAAAGTAAAAGACGAGAAAGAAAGATTAGAGGCGAGAAAGCCCGTCATGAACCTGTTGCTGGTCAAGAAAAGAACTTCAGTGCTACAGAAGCATCAGTAAAGATGCCTCAGTGATGTTTTCCTTACTTACTAGAAAATATGGTCAAGAGCGTGACTGTTCGTGCTGTGGAAGAGTTGGGTGTTTTTGGAGGTTTGAAGAAGCTAAACTTTTTCTTTGATTCTGTGATCTTAAGTTCTGTGTCTTCAGATGGACCCACCTGGTACCTACAACGACCACAAAAAATCAGTCGATTTGCACAGCAGAGTGAATACATAGCTGCAGGGTGTTAACAAATAAATGTACCTCAGTATCAGGATGCATACTGCCACGAGTGTGTAAGCAAACAGAGTACCAATGGACATCAGTTCCACCAAGGCATTCAGATCAAACAGTAGAGCCATGATGGCTAAAGCCAGGGAGAAAAATGGAATTAAATCTTATTTCTAGCCCATAAACCTCGACCTCTGTAGATCATGCAGAACAGCATTAGCATAAGTACAAAATATTATACACATGACACCTACGGGAGTTGCTCTGCTCAGCTATAGAAACCTACATCATGAAGCTCCTGACACACAGTTTTTGTGCTGATGTTAATACCAGAAGAGGTTGGAGTCATCAGTGTTGGTTACTTTTTCTATGGTGGTATCCTATTACAGTACTACAGCATACCACTTAAGTCCAGTAAGCTCTTTAGAGAAATGTTCACACGCGATTGTACAGGCAGACTGCATGGCTGGATTCCAAATGCATATTGCAATGACAATAAAAAGAGCTGAATTCATAGATTAAGAGAGAGAGTTAGAGAGACTTTATTTATCCCCAAGGGGCAATTAAGATAGATACCCTGCCAACCGTACATACAATATGCAAACACACAAGGTGTGGCACAGTACCTCTGTGTAAGCATCTGTAAGCATCATTAAAATAAGAGTTATTACTGGACACATTCAAAAGTATTTTATTACATGTACTATTTTTTGTTTTAGGTTTATTACTTCTATTATATTTACAGTACTTTTATTTATAAAGTGTATACCTGTACCTGCCACAATGCCAGATGATATAGTAGCTATTGCTGGACTGCCTCTGGAGGTGACTTTGGACAAAGGTTTGAAAAGCAGCCCGTCTCTCGCCATGGCAAAAAGTACTCGAGGCATCGGGAACATGGAACCTAGCAGACTGGAAAGACAAACAACAAAATGAATGCAGTGTCCAATTAATTTGTAATCTAAATTAGTCATTTCACAAATCAGTGTCAAAAGGTCACTCTAACTAAACCAACTGATTTGACATATGGCTTCTTTTTAACAGCTTAATCTGCTATGATGACTGAAGTCAGAAGAATGTACTGGCAATTTCATAATTTATCCACCTCGCAAACATCAGAGGCAGTGGAAGAATCATTCACAGCCTCTGGAACCTGACACGTCCTCCACACCTTGTCTGTTAATTATTACTCAGCTGAGTTATTTTACGTTAACGTTACATTTTTAATGAACTTTTTGAGTTAGCTACTGTTTAGTAGCTACTTTTCTAGATTTATTTTTCAACATTTTGGACTTTTGAACATCCATTATAATTTTTCTATTTTTTTCCAAATAACATACATTTATTTTTGCACCTTTTTCTTTCTGACTTTGAGCTTTAAACATCACTTGATCCATGCATGCACTACCCATACTGTCATACCTAGTTGACAGGGCACACAGTGAACCCACAGCCACGGCATATTTGGCAGGACCCCATCCAATGTAGTCAAAGGCTATTGGCAGTGGGCTCGTTTCACTTAGCAGGTAGTATGGCATCATAAGGGTGAGAGCAGCAGACACAGCAAAGTAGGCCAGGAAACATATAAGCAATGAGACCACAATGCTAATAGGGACAGATTTCTTCGGGTTCTTCACCTCCTCTCCTAAAAGAAAGGAAACCAAGAAGTTAGTGACCCCCTTACAAGATATATCTCCTGCAGGAGTTTCATGCATTGTTACACAAAAATCATAAAAACTAGTGGAGAGAATCATCTGCAAATTATGTCCTCAACGTTAAACTTTGTCAGTCTGTTTTAGCCAATAAGAAGTTATCCCACTTCAGTTATTTATTTATTTTTGCTACAAAATGGAATTGTCAAGCATACCAACACAGTTACTGAAACCTGCCATAAATGTTGCGTTAAGACGGAGACAATCTGCTATCTCACTGCAATTATATGAGGTCAGTTTGGAAATTACATGTAATCTGTGTCTGATAACACAGACAGAATTTCAAATCTAACTATTAATCTGCACTTCCTGTTCTATAGGAATGCAACCAGCTGCAGCCAGCTGAGTCCAGTTCCCTCGAGTTTTTCTCATTGACATCTGACTGATGGCAACATGCTGGCAATCTGCCTGCATTTATAAATCAAATGCAAGTTATTTGTAAATTTGTAGAGCTCTCTGAGTGATTACAGTCGGTCCAAGTCCAACCGTGATTATTTACAGGAAGATTGTTCGTTGTTCATATTATTCCCAGAGTGTTGTCCCTGCATCGATACAATATTGCCACACAAAATATTGCGATACAATAGCGTACTGTATCGATTTTTCTAACCCTTTCCCAGCACCACTAAAAAAATAACCCCATAAAAATGTAAAGAATCTATGGTGAAAATTAAAAAGTTTATAAAATTTAAAATAAAAAAGTGGAGGAAGTTTATTTTATTTTTAGTGTGCTTTTTTAATGAGTGTAGAGGAAATACTCATCGTTATAATTGTAATTTACTCCTCTCTGGAAATAAAGCACTATTTCATCCATTATCCACGATTGCAATATTTTTTCCATCCATTCATTCTCTTCCAATTATCTTTGTCCTTTATGTTATGTTATGTTATGTTATGTTATGTTATGTTATGTTATGTTATGTTATGTTATGTTATGTTATGTTATGTTATGTTATGTTATGTCGTGTTATGTTATGTTATGTTATGTTATGTTATGTTATGTTATGTTATGTTATGTTATGTTATGTTGTGTTGTGTTGTGTTGTGTTATGTCGTGTTATGTCATGTTATGTTATGTTATGTTAGGTTATGTTGTTATGTTATGTTATGTTATGTTATGTTATGTTATGTTATGTTATGTTATGTTATGTTATGTTGTGTTGTGTTGTGTTGTGTTATGTTGTTATGTTATGTTGTTATGTTATGTTATGTTGTGTTGTCTTGTGTTATGTTATGTTATGTTATGTTATGTTATATTATGTTATGTTGTGTTGTGTTATGTCGTGTTATGTCATGTTGTGTTGTGTTGTGTTGTGTTATATCGTGTTATGTCATGTCATGTTATGTTATGTTATGTTGTTATGTTATGTTATGTTATGTTATGTTATGTTATGTTATGTTATGTTGTGTTGTCTTGTGTTATGTTATGTTGTTGTGTTATGTTATGTTGTTATGTTATGTTATGTTATGTTATGTTGTGTTGTGTTGTGTTGTGTTGTGTTATGTTGTTATGTTATGTTATGTTATGTTGTGTTGTGTTGTGTTGTGTTATGTTATGTTGTGTTGTGTTGTGTTGTGTTATATCGTGTTATGTCATGTTATGTTATGTTATGTTATGTTATGTTATGTTGTTATGTTATGTTATGTTATGTTATGTTGTGTTGTGTTGTGTTGTGTTGTGTTATGTTGTTATGTTATGTTATTATGTTATGTTATGTTATGTTATGTTATGTTGTGTTGTCTTGTGTTATGTTATGTTGTTGTGTTATGTTATGTTGTTATGTTATGTTATGTTATGTTATGTTATGTTATGTTATGTTATGTTGTGTTGTGTTGTGTTGTGTTGTGTTATGTTGTTATGTTGTTATGTTATGTTATGTTATGTTGTTATGTTATGTTGTGTTGTGTTGTGTTGTGTTGTGTTGTGTTGTGTTGTGTTGTGTTGTGTTGTGTTGTGTTATGTTGTGTTGTGTTATGTTGTTATGTTATGTTGTGTTGTGTTGTGTTGTGTTGTGTTGTTATGTTGTGTTGTGTTGTGTTGTGTTATTTATGTTATGTTATGTTGGATACATAGTGTACTGGTAAAAGATCCCCAGTTTGATCCTGGGAGGAGATAAAAAATCCCTTTTGGGGTTGTGTCAGTCAAAAAATTTAATTAGGAAGCAGCTGAAAGAAGCTTGAACTAAGCTAAACTGACAAATTGTCTTCTTACCTGTTGTAGCAATGCAGTCAAATCCAACAAAAGCATAGAAGCATGTTGCAGCTCCAGCCACGGTTCCACCAAAGCCATAGGGGAAAAATCCGCCCACTCCAAACTCGCTTGTTGCATTAGCAATGTCAGTTCCGTTTCTGCAGCGGGTAGAGAGCAATACTTTGTGGTTATTTCCAGTTAGCTCATCCAGGAGAACAATAATGCTGTAATTATATAGGTCATGATTTACTTGAGTGTTTTTTATGTTTGTTTGTTTGTTTTTGCATTTATTTACATGGCAGTGGCGTTTAACACATCTTCCTTGCTGATTTTCCAGTTGGAGATGTCTCCTTTGATGAATCCAGAAATGATCACAAACAGCAGCACCAGGATGTTGATCGCTGTGAAGATCTTGTTGATCATCGTTGACTCTTTGACTCCAAAAGACAGGAGACCTTCGTGGAAAAGGTGGTTAATTCAGCGATCTCATCCTCATTTGTGGTCACCATTTAACACCAGTTTTACTATTTTACCTGACAAGAGCACGATCAGAGCTGCAGCAAAGACATCTGGGTAAGGAGCTAAGCCAGGCAGGCCCATGGCAGCATTTTCTGCAAAGTATTTTGACATGACTCCCCCAATGAGTTCATCAAATGTTCCGCTCCATGCCAGTGCAACAGTCGATGTCCCTGAACAGATAGTGAAAAGATAGTTAATGTAATAAACGAATTAATCAGCCATAATTTACCTGCAGCCATAAACAAAAGAAAAAGAAACTTCCTACCCTCTTTATAACTCAGGGTTTTGAATCACAGTCCTGGTTTATGGGGTTATTATTGGGATTGTTGCAAAGCAGTGATCCCGGTATGTGCTATTGTTAAAATTAATGTAGCAAGAGATGTGACACAGTGAGGTAGAAAAAAAGCAGTCAAGAATTCGCTGCTCCACTGGTTGAAAGGTCACAGTGTTAAATAGTCTCTTAATGGTGGTTGATCATTTATGATCAGAGTGTGGTAAAAAGATTATGTTAGGTTTATGCACTGTTTGCATATACAGGTAGGAGGAGAGATCACTAAATCATCAATAAAGGAAGAAAATATCATTGAATAATAGATGTTACAATTTGCATATATTCACCTATGACGTAGGAGAGCAGCAGATTCCAGCCAGAGATAAAAGCAAGGAGCTCTCCCACCGTCACATAGCTGTAAAGGTATGCTGAGCCTGTTTTAGGAACCCGGGCACCAAACTCTGCGTAGCATAGCCCAGCAAATATAGAGGCCAGGGCAGCGATGAAGAAGGAGATGATGATGCTGGGTCCCGCGGTGTCTCTGGCCACCTCTCCAGAGAGGACATAGACACCAGCCCCCAGGGTGCTGCCCACACCGAGGGCCACCAAGTCCAGAGTGGTCAGGCATCGATTGAAGGTGGACTCTTCCCCGTCGGGCTCGAGGGGCTTCCTCCGGGATAGGCTCACCAGAAAGGACTTCACTACGCTGCACGACATACTTCTGTGGGTTTGGATCAGGATGGAAGATGAGTGAACGAGAGAGATTTAAGGAGTGACCTAGTGGGACAAAAGGTGAGGAGTGTTTCTCAGTGAGTGAATAATTGTCAGGTCAGCCTCCGGAAGAAGATTCTTTCTTCTGAGAAACATGATTTTCAAAGTCTATTAGTGTTTTTATTTGTGTAGAAAGAGAACACAATGCTACTGTAATTAAACTGAGGAACTGAAGAGCACATGCAAGCTGTTAAGACTTAAGAAAATCTGTTTTATTAAAGCTTAATCATTATCACATGACAGCTAACATGCTCTCCTAACACTTGACAGAAGTGAGACTAAGAACACATTCACTTACCTCTTTGGTGTGATCTTGTACCTCGTAGATGTGCTAAGAAGTAGGAATAGGATGTGTCATTCGGCTCAGTTACAGTACCCTTTTATAAATGTATCTCGTTATCATTCTCCTGATATGATAGTGCTGATACCTGAGATTTCCAGAATGCCACCCCCAGCACAGAAATCCACACCCCGGCTTCAGGATTGCACTTTAAGCCTTCATTCACAGCACAATTACTTCTTTGAATATTTCTGAAGAGTCCAAAAGCTTTATGTGTTAGATGTGTTCTCACAACAGCAGTGCCTTTCAGGGCTGCCTTTAATCAACTACTGTTCAAATCAAATTAAATCAAATCAAAGTTAAGGCACAGTGAGAAAACAAAGATGACATAGCTTTTTCCTATATTTACTTTAATATAAGATCAAAAATTACATGCACCTATTCTTATTTTTGAGGGTTTCCTACAGATTTCTATATTTAATTTCTATAACAATAACTGTGTCTTCTCAGAGGGCCCTTACATTGTTGTGTCGCTTAAAAACAAGCCTGCGGTCTTATTACTACAGCTATGTTGTGGAGTTTGTCCGCTTGCACTGAAGCAGCTGTATCTCCATCTCAACATGAAGGTGTGAGCCTGCCGCTTTAATGGCCCGGTGAGTTCATGACATGGGGGAGGACAAAGCAGCTTTTATGACTTATTCGGGCAGGAGGCTGCACACTTTGAGAGGCAGCATTTACCTTCTCATCTCCAATCAGGGGATTTGAGCTCTCCTAATCCCTTGTGGCATCTACCTCAGCAGGCAGGAGCTGAGTGGGGAGGAAGCCTGTGCGGTCAAAGTACTTTTGACTAAACTTAAGCATTCATATCTGCGGATCTCACTTGCTGAGATAGCATATCGAGGGTAATGCTTAACTAAAAAATCATGGTTTGTTTAGCCAGATATCCCATTAATCATTGCAGTTAAGCAGTTAATGTTTATAATGTTGTTTTTCGGCTGCCTACTGTGCATTTAAAGAAGCACAGTCATTAAAATGCACAGATTCTTATTAAAGAAAAGGTCAGGGATTTGAAACTGACGTCATATTTTTATGCAGCAGACACACAAGTTCATTACCTTGCATTCAGTCCCACGAGGAGTTACTGGTGACTTCAAAAGCAGAGTGGAACGAAAATATCCGTGATGCTGACTTGGATGAAAGAAGCATGACTTTTACAGCGATATATACAAGACCGGCCTGCATGACCCTCCCACTCAGTGGAATTATTTACAAAGTAGCCTTTCTTACTCCCGACCAGTGTGGATCATAATGTGTTCATTATTGCAATGAAGGCACAGGGTGAGAACTGTGAATAGAAAATCCTGTTCAGAATGTGAAAAATGCTTTTGTACCCATTCGTTTGTTGTTGCGCTTCAGATTTACAATTTGCTGTATAAAGTGCACGTATTTGATCAGAAATAACTATTACTGATGTTTGGAAATATGTCGAAAAAAATATAATTATGTTTTACCAGATGCCTCTATAATTTTGCTTATTTTCTGCCATCTAATAGTGGTATAGATGTGGCTACTCCTAATAATCATGGCTTTGAATAATCTGTGTATGTGGATGTAATCACTGTGACTGCTCCTAATGCTTTATTTCCATCTGTTTTTCTGCTTCGGGATTTGTGTGACATCAGTGAGAGTGAATAACTTAATATGGCACACAACTCTTGCTGTGAGCACAGAAACTCCACCCACACACTGTTTGAGCCATTTGTTTGCAAAGGACAGCCAATCAGACTAGAACAGCTTTAAAAACTTACAGGCCTTAAGCAGTAAGGAGCTTGATTTAGACAGAGGATGAACTGACCTCTTAGGGACTCCTTTAAAGCTTAAACTGAGTACAAGAATAAAGATACGGTGCTAAAAGGGAGTATAATAGCTTTGATGCTTTGTTAATTTTTTTTAAAACAAAGATTTAATGTTTCATGCAAAAAAAGAGAGAGAAAGACAGAAGTTTGTTTGTTTTTTGTTTTGTTTTGTTTTGTTTTTTTGGCTGTAAAAAGAGTGGAAACATCTGGGGAAAAGAAAACAGCTGATACTAGTCAAAGACAACAAGACAGGGAGGTAAACTAAAAAAGAGCTGAGGCTCAAAATACAAGAGAATATTAAAAACAAATATACCAATAAGCAACCTAAGAACCAAGAGAAGCCCCAAAAGACCTCAAAATTCAGAGCTAAAGATCCAGAATCCACAATCATAGACTCATTATAGATGAAATGTTTATTAATGATTACATATCTAATGAATACAGTTTACATAGTTTGAAAATGAATTTGTTTTCATTTCAACAATAAATAAAATGAATATGCATTAATATATATTTCCCATCTCAGCCAGAATGAAATTGTTATGTTGGGTATGCAGTATATCTTCAAACCACAAGAGGTCGCTGTGCAACAAAAGAAATTCCTCTCTGCCGCTTCACTGTTTCCACCATATGGACACCCCATTCTTTCAACACTGGTTGGGGGCGAAGATGAAAAGGGTACACTAAAGGAGAGGAAACCAAAAGAAAAAAGAAAAACATATCAGTGGACTCATTTCATTCATAGATCAAAGCTAAAGCCTCTGACGCTATAGGTTTTTGCCCAATACGTCCACTTTAAAGTTCATAGTACCAGAGGCACAGACCAAAACATATTCTTCAAGTAACAAGGAGTATAACATTCAAATGTAAAACATACATTGGCCTCCAAAACAGGACATTTTTCCTGTTAAACGGGTTGATCAACATTTACACAATGATCTAATTGGTCTAATCTAAAATGTTGCTGAAACATCACTACAGATGTTCATAACCACCTCCCCATCATCAATCTGTCTTTCCCTCCCATAGACATAGCGTGCTTATCTCTGCTCCCTCCCCAACCTTTGAAGAGAGCAAACAGGGTTTAATGTTAATCTTATCTCCCTGTCTTCTGTGCCTCACTGAGCATATGATGTGTGAATTGCATCTGAACACAGTAAATAAGATCATTTATCAAGCACATAGACCAGGTGTGAACTTTTATCACATTTTTATTCACCTAATGAAATACTGAGTCATGCCCCCTTTTTTTCTTTGCTGTTGCGAAGTGGAGCACTGGACTCCCTGTCAGCTTCCTGTAAGTCACCTCTAGTTTCTCATCATCTCTTCCGTCACCTTTCTCTCCACATGCGGTGTCACCAGTATCACCATGAATGAATGAAGTAAAAAGCCCAACATAAAAGATCACAGGAAATACACATGCAACACGCAAATTTGTGGGCAAAACATGCATGCATGCATTCCAGGAATAGAGCAATGAATGTGGCACTCGTTTTACTGTCATACCGCAGCTATGCTCCCCCTCTCCTCCCACTAAACACACACACGCACTCACACGCCCCTCCACACTTACTGGAGGTCTTCTGACAGGACAGAAATAGAACAAATTGTCACGTCAGTGTCAGTAAGCTGCCCTCTGTTAAAACTCAGACTCGTGCGCATGTGCCAAAATTCAGAAAGTTATGCTTGCCTGTTACCAGCTCCAAGTGGTGGCTCAATATATAAAAGAAAGGTGTCAATTAATCGTTCATATATATATTTATATATTTATTTATTTATTTATTTATTTATTTATTTATTTTTTCAACATTAGGGTGTGGGGGAAATAATAGAAATAAGCAGCTATTACCCAGTCACATTTACACCCGTGTTTGAAGCATTCTCTTGCATTAAGCACGTATATATCAAAGCACCGCTCTCTCTTTCTCGCTCTCTCAAGCCCGCACTTTCTGTCTCTCTCTCACGCGCAGACATGCGCGCACGCTTTACAGAAGCCGCGCGAGAGAGCGCCGCAGTCACCACGTCACTGAGGACGAGTAACTGGCCGGCCTGAATTCATCCGACCGGGGGGGAAAGACAGACCGAGTTTAGGTCACTCTGCACCGATACTTCCTGCACCGAGAAGGTAAGCTGCTCTCTGTCGTTCGCTGTCGGCTCCATATAACAGAAAAGTTTGCTGAGGTGTCATTTTTAAATGTGCCCCTGGCACCCGTGGCTGCAGAAGGAACGGCTGTAATAAAATTCAACTCGAGGAAAGTTTAAAATGAAACTTAATTCAGAAAAACAATATACCATTAGATTTAAAGCCTCTGATTTAAAGAATATCCTTCGGTGTGTGTATGTGGGGGGAATTAACAGAGAAGGGTGTGGCCCTGTGTACATATAAAGGGAGAGAGAGGCCGAGAGGCCCTGTCCCCCAGACCTGTCTTCTGATATTAAGATAAACTGCGCGCGTGCTATTTTTGGGAAAGCCTCACTGGAGTTTTAAACAAACAGTACAGTATTTCAAACCATGTGGAGTACTCTTTCCCCCCTCAATTTAGCATAAATTCTTTATTCCTTAAAAACTATTTGTGTGTAAGTTCAGTGTAGCCTACTTCTGTGTTGTGATTCTAAATTAAGTATCGTCAGTCTAGAAGAAGTAGCTTCTCTGTACTGACGCCTCAACATGTTTACCTTGTCTGAATTTCTGCATTATAGTCAGAATATAGCTGCATGGGAAATGTGGCTCCAGCTTTCCTGCAAGTTTAAATAAAACATATTCCATCCATCAATGTATTTTTGTGTGAATATGAGGTTGAGTCTAATAAAAAGCAGGCCCCCGTCTGCTTTTTGCTCCTGCGCTCTAGCTAAGAACAGCCTGGATAATGAATAACAGTACCTCTTTGTATTTACTCAGGAAATAAAGATCATCATTGTTTGCAACATAGTTTCATCCAAAGCTGAGGTGAAGGTCACCTTTCACATTGCAAGGATGTTTTCCAGTGCAACTGGCTACCTGTACCTCAGCATTTCTGTTTTCCCTTTAGGCCTGAAACTATTGATTCCTGAGCAGTGTTGACATATAAGACCAAATATAGACATGGTAAGTGGACAAGAGCTTGGTCATCTGGCCTTGTATCATGTTAGCTATAATCAAACTGCAGACCAGATCTTGTATCAGTGCAGCAGAATGAATTGTTTTGTGTGACACTGGCGTGGATAGAGTGAGGCTGCCATCTGCCACCATGTGAGCCCTGCGCAACATCAAAAACAGGAGTGTAGAGTGTCAGTGCTACCTGCAGCACCTCGTTATACCTGACGGCATTTTTCCAGAATGACTTTGTAAAATTATTTAAGGTTAAACACAAACTAGCTCTTACCTCTTTTAAAGTTTGGGCACCAGATGAAACAAATTGCACTTATAGGGGGAGGGATGCATAGAAATCAACTTATTGTTATTAAATTCACTTTACCGAACCGTGATTAGTTTAGTTAAAGTCTGTTGCTAGGGGCTTGTGTTTGTGGCCTGTTGCCACGTGGGTGAAGCTTTACAGCTGTCCTGAGGAGTGATGTTAAGCAGAGCATATACAGTGGCTTCTGTAGCTGGGCGGAGAGCACAACTTGGCTGACAGCCTCAATGCAGCAGTAACCTCGAGAGCAGCTGCTGCAGTTTCATTTTTCAGCCGTTTTTGTGAAGATCTTATTATTACAAGATCATAATGTTGATATTTTTCATCCTTTTTGAGCTATTGCATATTAGATGGTCTGATGTGTAAAAGTTCTGTGTGCAACCCGACCCTGTCTACTTTCCCGCCCCTGCACAAACAGGCAAGCAACATACACACACACTGATCTGTTGGGGGTGAGACAGGTGCAAATACTCAGCTGCTGTCACTGCTGCTACACCACTCCACTACTCTCAGCATGCAAGGAGGTGTGGGTTGAGATAATGCATTGTTAGAGAATGGGACATAAAGTGCAAATTTATTAAAAAAGCAAAGTGTATGGTTAAAAAAAGGGTTTACAACTGGTCTGCTCTGGAGGTGAGCAGCATATGCAAAGTCATAGCAAAGCCAAGCCCACTGCTGTTTCGAGCCATCTGCAAAATGCAAGCTGTGGCTCAAAATGTGAGATCCTCTTCTCTCATACTAGCCTTTCTTTTTTAGTCTCCTTTTTTCTACAGAAAAGCTACACTGATATGTTGACATGTAACATGAAGAATGCTCACATGTTTGGTTGTGTTAGCATAATTAGCATAGAAATGTAGTGACAAAAATTAGAGGAATTTATCCTGATGGAGACATTAATGTATCAAATTTCATGGCTGTCGACTAAAAATCCAATATTTTAATGACACAT